CCCCAAAACCCCAAAACCCCAAAACCCCAAAACCCCAAAACCCCAGAAATATAATTAAATTTAATACATTAATAAAACTGTATGGGAAAATCAGCAAGCAAAGAAGAGAAGACTTGGTTTAAGGTACAGAAAGAAAAGACCAAACTTATGTACTCCAAATGATCAAAGATAGAGTCAGCCCTTATTGGTAACAACGAGGCTGGCAAAACCACCTTCATTAGAAGGCTAACAAATGATGAGTACGATCCTGACTATGAAGAGACCATAATCACTCAGATGGGAGTCAAGCTAATAGATTTCAAGGACAAACTTGACTTTCCAATGTACCTCAGACTTATAGATACGCCCGGGAATGCAGTCTCTTTCCTGAAGGACGAGCAATCAGTCTTCGAGAATCTTGACATCGCATTTGTAGTTCTGGATGGCTCAAAAGTAATTCACAAGGAGCATGTTATCTCTGTCAACAATTATGTAATTCAACGGCTCAGGACGTACAACAAGAAGGTCATTGAAAAAGAGAAGAAAAGCTCTGAATATAAGAACTACTTATGAAAACTACTGGATGAAGAGTCCACAGGTTCTGGAAATTTGATTCCTCCAGATGAGATGTATGGGTCAGTTCAAGATGATCTCTTAATGCCACCAAGAGCTAGGCTAGATATAGACGATAGGAGCGAAGACCCTGATAACTCCTTTAATAACGATCATTCTGAAGTGAATCATGGAATGTCTCAGCACACCATTGTAAATCTTAGACAGGATACTTATAAAAGCAGAGACGAGGAGAATAAGCAAGATGCTGATGATATTGTAAATCTCTACAGAAACAAAAAGATAAAAATTGCAATGTTCCCAGCTGTATTCCACATAATCACCAAGAAAGACATGCTTTCTGATGAAGGTTTGGAGGACCAGAGAGACAGAGCAGCAGCCCTCAAAGCTGAAGGAATCATCGATGAATATTTCTTTATCTCATCAAAAGACGTGGATGAAGTTAACGGAATTTTTGAACTCCTTGAGGGCATCAATGATAGAAGAATGGAGGTAATGAGACAAGAAAGAGATGAGAAAGACTCTCAGATATCATCTAAGGGCAAATAATCCTCCTCTTTTATATAGCTGTCTTGATTCATAAAACTTCAGAAAAATATGAATTATATCTATTTCAAAATCCTGAATGCTTAGCGGGGTTTTGGGGTTTTGGGGTTTTGGGGTTTTGGG